TCTTGTTTTTTTAAATTTTTTATGTTTTATACTTGTGAACGAGGCATTATTTTAAATGTGGTGAATACAGTGTTGGGGCTGCAGTAAGGAATCTGTATTGACACAATTATCTATAAAATAAAAAGTAACTTTAAAAAAAAAGATAAAATCAATCATGACATTTACTCTCTCTGTCATATCCAAACTCAAGAAATCGGACAAAGGATATTCACCAGTGCCACCATCATGAGCTGCATAAAAAAATGAACTACCGTAAAATTGAAATATTTTAAGGTGACTTTAATTTTACATTTGTTGTATTAATTTATAGTAGCTTACGTGTAAACCGTAAAATTAAAATCTCAAAAACTTTTAAAATTAAATAATAAAGGCAGTAAATTATTCCACTTCTAACCAATTGATAAAGTAGCACCAGCTGCTTTCATAATGGTGAATACGTCAGAAGGAAAGTTATCATTATTATGAGTGAGCATCAAGTTACCAGCCCAAGTGCCTATCTATAAAAAAGAGAGAGAGGGAGGAAAAAAGAGAAAGAGAGAGAAAGAGAGAGAGGGGGAAGCAAGTGAGAGAGAGAGAACACTAGAGAGTAATCTGCAATAGTCCTACTTACATTTCTGACTGGAACATTAGCAATCTGTAAGTACAATGAATAGTACACATTATACACTCTATTTTGTTATTAATAGTGTCAGCTACTTTTTTAAGATGATCAGCTAGAGGCTTGAAACTGATTGACTTGTCCTTATTGCTCAACAAAATATCAATAAGTCCGTTAATTGATATGCCAGCACCAATACTGATATAAGTGTCATGTACCTACAGAAAAGAAAAGTATGAAAGACAGTGTATGTACATGTATGTATGTGTGTGTACACTCACTTGCATGAAGTAAAGCTCCTTCACAGAATTCAATTCAATATAAATATTAACGTCACCCGTTTCCTTGAAAACACCTAAACAAATGACATACATGTATCATGGATGAATAATCAGAAAAAAATTGAAATCAGAATTCACTACAAAGCATAAAATAAAACATGCCCAAGACAATTATATTAGAAGTATACAGTTATGCGGTGGCTGCTGTACTATTAACAGTGACAATAGTACAGTAATACATGCAGTAAGTACATGTACAATGTACAGTAGGTGTTGTATTATAAGTCACTAACCTTTCCCAGTATTCCCATTAACAAACTTGACAGTTGAATTAAGATTAGCTTTATAAATGCTAAAAGCTTCAGAAAGTCCTGTAGGTTGATACCAGTGTGGGTCTGACTGAGCCCTTGACTGCATGAACCAATCATCAGAGACAATAAGGAGAGGGCATGAGGAACATTTCACTGGAGAAAACTCCTATTTAATAATAATAATAATAATAATAAT